CAGCAGAACAATGTTGATTTTACTTTCAATTGACGATAATCATTCAAATTCATTTTTGTCTAAAAGTAGAATTTTCACTAAATAATATCAACATAGTGACCATGCTAGAGTAATATGATGTCGTATGGTTGAATTTGATGATCAGAGAACAAATTAAGATCTCTTTTTCTTTGGTTTTCGACAGAAAATGACTCTGTTGCAAGCAAAAAAGAGGCTTCTTGTTTGCTCTATTCTATTATTTTGTAGCACAACAAAAGTAAAGCCGTTTTTCAAATTGATCGTGAGGTTTTGTATATTTTTCATTCAATCGTCATTGTGAAATGAAGAAAGATAAATTATTTGATTATATTTACCTCTTTCTTGTTGTTTTTCAACGCTGATAAGACGATTCCAATCGACTTGGCCAATTTGAGACGTTATCACTTTAATATTGTTTGGTTGATTGAGTCGTTCGAATGATTGTCGTAATTTATTAATCTTTTCTTGAAATTGTCTAAGATCATTTTCAGCAAATTCGTCTTCTTCTCGTCGACTACGAATTTCTTTGGCTAAAACATCAAATCGTTTCATGAATGTCTCTTTCTCATTGTTGAACAATTGAGTGAGTCGATCACGAGCTCTATCAGCTGTTCTCTTCACTATTTCGATCGTTGACGTTTCCCAATGATCAATTGCAGAGAAAAGATCACACAAAGAATCATTCGACTGTTTTACTTGATTGATTTGTTCGAGCAATTCATCATGAGCTTTTACAACGTCACGATCAAATTGAATTGACAACTGTTGACGGTGTTCATTAAAATGTTTGATACAAAAGTATGCCTTACATCCTGTGCAGTTGCACATTGCTGCATTCTTTTCACATACCGAACATCGATTAGATGATATTCCAGTGGCCATTTCTGTGATTATTAATAAGAAAATGAGATAAGTATGCATAAATCAATCGAAAAGAAAAGTACTGAATAAGGAGATCCAAACCTTTTTCGTGAACACAATCTTTGTTTAGCTACTCTACGTATTTTTCGTTTATTATTTCTTGACTAAAGAAGTTCTTCGAAATCACAGTGTTCTTTTCTGTTGTTCTACTTTAGAATGAATCTCCAGAAAAATAACAGGAATGACATGAAACGATTTATTTATAAATTGCAATGCAGATCGGTTAATAAAAATTTTCGAATCCATCTCAAGGATTGAATTTCGCAGCTTTACAATTTTGTATTGAAATAAACAAGAATAGTTGAAAGTTTATCATTTAATCGAAATTAGAAAGCATCGTTTATCTATTTTCGTAGTTGAATGAAGTTCAATTCTATTTTTTGTGTATATTACTATGGTATGTACGATAATAACATCAGTCGAGTTGCATGCAATCAACGTCTTAGACATCATTCTGTGTATCACAGAAAGTATGCGTATTTGATGAAAGAGCATCCTTTCAGATAATATGATGCAAAGTAATTTTTATACAACCCTACATTGTAATTTTGGCTGTTACTGGTATTTTCGAAGCACTGAAATGGAACTTCATGGTGCTCAAGTCTGCTGCTGTCAAAGAGTGGCGAAGAAATTTTTTGATTATTTTTTTGCAATCTATATGAAATTGATAATATAGCATATGATTAAATGAGTAGGGGTATTTTTTCTTATCGGCCTTTCGGGCTTTGCTTCTCGTTGTAAGAAAATAGTGACAAATTTCATTTCATTCCATATTATGAAATGTGATACTGACCTTCGTATTACTACTCTTGATAAATAGTTTTAACTTATCTGAGAATGTTTCTGTTTGTTCACGCTTTGATTAGTCAAAGTTTGTCAGACAATCACAAGTAAGTTTTCAAATGATGGCGCTGTTATCCACTCCACACAACTAGCAAAATGGGGAATAATGTACGTATTGATTCTAAATAGTTGATTACTTGGTGTTTTTCACCACGTATTGAGATAAGTACTTGAAACTGTAATTTAGAAAGTACTGTTCATTTTGCACAATAATTTACGATATCAAGAGAGCTAATAGGCTACGAATCGATAACTGATTTTCGCTTTTCATACTGATCAAAACAATTTTCCATACGGATCAGTGTTGTCGTTTCAACTCGATTGAATGTCTATATATATGTACATGATTCAAATAGAATGCTAATCTAGCAATGTCTTGTTGACAAGAATCGTCTATGGTGTTAATGTATGTGTGCATGTGGAGTACAAGTGGGGTGTGGGTGTGAAAGTGGTGCCGGTGTCTGCTCTCTTTCCGTCCCAACACCTACATATTTCTTACCCGCCGATTGAATTTCTTTGTCATAATATGGCTTAATGGCAAAACAAATATGCGCATGACGAACGAAAAGTACTGTTTATGAAAGTCAGAGAGCAGATATTCTCCCGTGAAGAAGAAGAAAGATAAGAATAGGCTTTAGAATTTTATTGATAGTTTTGCAGCTTGAGTAAGATCGATCAGATTTGGACAAACTGTCTTGATATGGATAGAGCATATTCTTAAGCTATACTGATTCTGCTGACAACTTCAGTCCGAATCCAGAATTCTTCTTACAATTCTAGCTATTGGAGGAACCATATTTTTAGACTAGAAGTTGAGAGCACCGCAGTTGGGTGGGGGCAGCGGATTCAGTCTCAAGTACTTTTTGACCTGTTGAAATTACACTCTTCTGTATTTACAAACATTTTCGAGAGCACACGTGTTCAATGTGATTAGATGTCTTGAATTATAATTTTTGCATCGAAATTATTTCCAAGGGTTCAAGTGTGGGTTCTCTCATCGTCGAGTTGCATTTATAGCCACACCCACCATTCGCGTCCGCATCGTAGCAAGAAAAAAACCAATATCTTGTGTAAGAAATGGCGACAGCTCAACGATTACAACAATGAACCATTGTACAAGGATACAAGTGATGTGTACTTTAAATGCGATCAATACACGACATTTGATTGAGAGAGAATGTGGTGAAATGAATTTGAGTATAAATATGTTGGTAGAGATTCAACTACACGGGTGTCACCCAAACACAAATCCACATCCACCCCCACCTTTACATCGGCATTCTCACACCTACGTCGACTTCTCTTACTGCCAGTATCTACGAAAATTGTTGAACATATGTACATTTTATATTCTTTAGCAATATTGAGAATATTAAGGTACAAATCCCGAGAATCTCTGTTGACACTTGATTCAATCAACTGATTGGGTTTTCTTCGAAAATATCGATTGAGGTATGCATAAGGAAAAAATCTGAGTTCATCTATCGATTTTCGAAGCTAAGTGAAATCCGAGATGCATAGAAATTCATAATAGTCAGCAACATGGAATTGCTTGCTTTAATCATTACCTCATGAAGTAAAACGGTCATACAACAGGCCATTATTCTATTGGTAGAAAAGAAAAAAACGATCAACAACTAAAGTCTTGAATTGACGATACTGCTAGGTTACCTTTAGCCGCCAATATATCTATATTCTAGCATTCGCACAAATTATTTCCAATATTCTTTCAAGTAAATCTAGTCCATGCTTCTTTGCATAATCTATATTCAATCTCACATTCTTTCTAATATTAACATTATGATTGACAGTTAGAAAGCTATTCATACCAGTTATGTAATAACAAGATAATTCATGATATGCTGCCATTAAAGTCATTGATTGTTGTGGATGGTCGTACGTGAGGATATGATTTATATTCACATCATCACAAATTCATTCTCTAGCTTACTTCCCGCGCTCTTACACCCTCGTCTTTACCTATATCCTATTTCATCTTGTTAAAATAATGTCTAATCGTCGAGCGATAGATGCTGAGACAACACATGGAATAAATGATTAAAAATAAAATATGACGATCTTGTCAGACCATGGGTGTCGATATGAATGTATTCTCTCCATCAACACTCACACTCCAACATGAAGATTGTATTTCTTCATGACCGTACCTAAAAAAAACGGAATCGTTTTTCTAACCAACAAATGTTCATGACGAAGAACACAGAATCTATATATCATCTTCTATTGACTTTCTGTATGGTTCTGCATTACAATCGTATGTCTTCGTGATCATATGCGAAGAAATACGAAATAAACACATGCATTTTTAGGTGAAGATAAGCAGTCATTCACGAAGAAGATAGATCGTATGAAAAAAAATGTGGCTTATTTCAATTAGAATAAATCAAGTTTCGAGAAGTTTCGAGAATCAATACTCAAATGACGAGAATTATCACGCATCATTCTTTAGAATATCTTATCTTGGTACAAAACAACACACCGATTTTATTTATATTATTAAGTTGAAGTTCGTTTTCGTCAACGATGCAAATCGAAGTACTATTATACCCAACCAAGATAATTTATTGGTTTGTAGAGTGAGTTCTTCTAACGACTGATTATATCGTAACATGCTAATCAGAGATTGGATACTCCAATCACTAATTGACTGACTTTGAAAGAGAGACAATTGACGAAGACTTATATTGTCAATAAGTGCATCGGCTAATAATCGTACGCCACGATCATCTATATGATTGGAATTTAGTGATAATGAGGTCAATGTTTGGTTCTTTTTAAGCATATTAGCCAAATGTCTTGCTCCTTCATGAGTGATGTTATTGTCTCTAAGATCAAGTACTTTGAGACACTTATTAACTGAAAGTGCATCTGCTAAATAATCAACGCCACGATCACCTATACAATTATATTGAAGTTCTAATCTTATTAATGACGTATTGTTGCTCAATGCCTTGGCTAGAATTAAAGCACCGCTTGCATCGATATGATTTTCACTTAGGATGAGTATAGTGCATTGTTTCCGAATGATTGCTTGTTCGACCACAATTGACATATCACTATTGATCATCAACCGTTCAGATAAGTCAATCAGCCAATCTGCAGATCGAATGATGTAATCTTCAAGTTCCAGTTCACGAGGATTTGTCGATTCTAAAAGAGTACATATAGATGTTCAATAATTGACTTCTATGCTTAAACAGAATTAGAAATAACAAATATCAAATGTGTTCCGTTTACCATTGACAGCATTCTCCTTTCGATCAACAGTTAAAGTTTTACTTCGTTGATCTTTGATACAGTTTGTATTGCTCATTAATTTTGATTGATAAATTTTACATTTAGATTGATGAATTTCAAGTTGATCACGTGATCCTATCCAAGAACAACTTGTATCATTGTTGATCGAACAAGATACATCAGCTTTTGGACACAAGTTATTAATATGATTCTGAAAATTGCCTCGTTGCAAATTGATTTCATCACATAATGTACATTTCACTAGGATTTCATTGAGCATTCCATGAATAAAAATCACACTAATAGATGTCAAATCCTCTTTTGATAATATTTCTCGACATGAAGGACATGATGTCTTGTGAAGTTCCAGCCATGTTACAATACATCGACGACAGAACGTATGTTTGCATGGAGTTGATACAGGATCGAGAAATGGATCGGTACAAATCGGACATTTCAAATAATTGTCAATCGACATCTCATTCATGTATTCATATGCACTCTTACTCTTCTTGGCCATTTTTTTTTAATAAAATAGCAATCTAGAAAAGAAACAAGCCTGAATAGAAATGCATACAGTTTAGAGAACTCTAATAAATATCAAACGATTTCCGCACACTCTTTACAGGGGTTAAATGTAAAATACGATGAAGCTCTGCTTGAATTGAAAATGAGTATCTGGGACAAGTTGATCATAATCCATGACTGAATCACGCGTACAGCACATCGACAAATCTGGCACACTGTGTTAGAGTCAAAAACCATATCCAAAGGGTAACAGCCGTTTCTTTATCTGTGAAATATGAAATTCATTCAAAATCCAGATATTCATTTACACTCCCAAAATTAGAACTGCATCAATCTAAAAATACCTAAGAAAAATACAAAAGTCAAACTATGTTAAAGGACTGCTTTCTAATGGCTATGTTAATATCTTGACAGCGCACTGTATCGAAGCTAAATGACTGTACCGCAAGGGAAGAAAACAGGTGTTTTTTTGTTCGTGGAAATTTCAAAATCCAAAAAAAATGGAAAAGCTCAAAACTTCCAAATCATCTCTTAGAGAATTCAAAAAGTCTGCTTTTCCCTCATTGTCTCAAAATATTTGTTACACTATGTAGCAGCTTCCAAAGACACCAATGTATCTGTCTATAATTTGTATGAGAAGCTGAGGAATTCACTTTTCTCGCTATATGTGTCACTACTCATTAATAATCACTTTTCACAAAACACAGACCACAAGTTTAATTTTGGCACGTTCATTTAGACTTCACTTCAATTTCAACATGTATTATCTACATAGATCATAAATTTGTCAATTATATTTTTTCATAAGCTCGTATTTCTATCGATTACTACCAATATACAGTTCGGGCGATCTATGAATGAATTATTTGGTTGAATTTCCGTCCATCAGCATTTGTTGAAAACGCATAAAATACTGTCCTATTTCTTGTTGCAAACGATCTGAGTTACATTATATCAAAGACGACGTTTACCTATGTTTATGCGACCTAGTTCAACTTACTTCATGCTTCTTATGAATTCAACTTGTTTGAAAATGGTGAGCAATGCTTTCCGGACATTTATATAATTCCAATGTCATCGATTTGTATCATTCGTTCATATGTGGCACTATTAACAATGATCCACATGCGCATAAAGGACAGCAGCCCACAGTATGATTGCTTTACGCACGAAAATATGCAGCAACTGGAACAAAAAATGCTTCCAACACACGTTTATAACAAAGCCTCAGTATTGACACAACGATAAGAACGAAACAATCTCCACCATATAATGCAATCACATTATTCTGTGCACGTCTTTTTTCGGAAGTGTTGAAAAGAGACATGCATGAATCAGAAGCTTAATGTTCGTTACCTATGTCATTATTTGCTTTCTGACGCAAGACAAATATGGGAAATATCCAGTGACTTTTATCACAAAATAAAGAATATCAAATTGACGTTTTGAATTTTTTCTAAAGCTGGAAGTCTAATTTTCTTTATGCAATACGAAGATTCAGTATATTCTCGTGTTTCCTTAGCTATGATAAAAGAGTCAGTTGACACTGCTTGTAAACTCTAATAAAGCTTTCGATTGAAAACAAGACTCAACTCAAATAGTAGTGAGTAGGTATTTAAGAGAGAGTCCACCACAGAACCAACCTAGGTCACTAGAGAAAATTTTTTTCAGTTCTGTTTTCCCAAATGAAAGGTCTATGTAAACTACAGTCAAAGTCAATATATTAGGTCACTTGGTATTCCTTGTGAAAAATACGAGCCAAAAAACATTATAAAGCGTCTATTTTCACCTCAGAAAAATCACTAAAAATGAGTGTGTTCAGTATTTTGACATTATCTCACGAATAACTTAATTTTTTAAGCTCGAGAACATCTTATTACATAGAGAACATTACAGGCTACAAATTCATTTTACATAAGTGACTAAAATACAAAGTCAGGAAAACACTATTGGTCAAAACTCGAAAAATTCATCCTTTCAGAATAATGGTATTTGGGATTTTTTTAAAGTGATACAAGAAAAATTGGCTTCGATCCACGTCAGAAAAGTATTTTTAGTTCTGGTTTCGTATTTAGCAATACAAGTATTAATGCAAAATCCGATATGATTTTCTAGCAATGTCAATAAGCTCGAGACACCTTGCACGACCCGAATAATCTCTAATTAGCGATGAGCAAGATCGATCGTTTTTTGTCCCAGTTCCGACCAGAAAACAAGTGGCCCCGGTCCAGGTAAAAAAAAATTGGTTTCAATCCCGGTCTCACTGAAACCGGGACCGAGATCATGCCGCCCATGTCTACTGCTAACCCAAGAAGCAATAATTTATTGAATTCTATTCATTTACTATTATCAAGACGAATTAAGAACAAAAGTTAGTTAAACAGAGATAGAGAGAGAACTTACAAAGTTATTGATATATTCTATTTGATTAAAACTAGATTCTACTATAAATCGTTTCAATTTCTCTTCTGTTGCTTTGCAAATAATACAGCTTCAAATAGAGTATAAGAGTATTCATTAATTATTATGAAGAATAAAAGATAATCTGACCTTGTGCGACATCTTTACTAATCTGCTGACTATTTGACAGCATCGTTTTTATTTATTGGATTGTTGATGATACATGTTTTTCATGAATAGATCTACAGTGGCAATCGACTTTTTCTTCTTTGGTTTTTATACTTATTGTTTTTTATCTGTTTTTATAGATGTCTAGGTACAATATTGCATGACTAATAATATAACTAATGATTTATTTTATTCTAAAATGTAAATTGGAAAGTTTTTCTAAACTGTTTTTCTCATTTTATTATCTTAGTTATTAAATATGCATATTCAAAAGCGTACAATTAGTTATGATACTGGTGATGATCCTAGTCAAAAATCATCAATCTTAAAGGAACAAAAAAATCATAAATACTGGCATCGATTTATGAATGAAAGAGCAATTGATCGTGCTTATGTACCAACAACTCATGGTATACTCTTTTTCTTATAAAATGATAATCTTCATTTCTGTAACCTTAATTTATATAGAACATGTAGCAAATTGTTTAACACATGGTTGTCTAATTATTCCATCATTTATTGCTGCTCAACGGTTAATATCTCATGTAAAAACACCGGCGCAATATTGGAGTAGTATTATCTATGGTAGTGCTCTTATTTTTCTCTTTTCATCTTCAACTTGTTTTCATTGTTCATGTTTTCATCCAACATACAGGTAAGTGAGAATGAAATATTGCAGGAAATAATTACCATAGATTTTATTTTATAATAGAGATTCAACTCTGAAACATTTATTACATCGAGTTGATCGAGCAATTATTTACATTTTTATTAGTGCTAGTTATACACCATGGTTATAATTTGTAATATATTTGTAGATTATAGTTCCAATTTATGTTTTTTTAGGCTTCTTCTTCGTCCAATTCAAGCAATTCCAACGATTTTCACTGTAGCACTCGTTTGGATAATGGCTATATTAGGCATTACCTATCAGATTTTATATCATGAAAGACATAAATGGCTAGAAACATGTTTTTATGTTGGTGTTGGTGTTTTTCCTGCTATTGTTATAACTGACATGGTATGCTTAAGGCTCCACCCTCGATAATCGATCTCAGCTCAGGACCGTTCAAACAGCATGAAATTTTCAGGATATGTTGAAAGTGTAGTGAATAAACTATGATAAAATTTTCAGCTCACTATCATGACGTTTGAGGAAGATATTGACCAAACAAGGGTGAAAAATAGCTCATTTGACAAACCAAATTTCTCTGTCCAGGTTCATTCTAGAGATTTAATTTTTTTTGCTTGAAAACGATGCAATGCAGTGCAGAGCTCTTTTTTTTAATACTTACTCTTTAAGGGAAAAAAAAGGAATCGAAAGTTCAATGTCTTACGGAACCCTTAAAAAATGGGTGTCGAATTATATAAGTCTCTGTATATATAATTTTAAAAAAGCTTAATTATAAGAAAGCACTCTGTACTGCACTGCGTCTTGATGCCCTCTTTCAAACAAAAAAAAATACATTGAATGAGTATCGACAGAGAAATGTGAATTGTACGCTCAAGAAACTATAAATGGAGAAGAAACAAAAAAGATTTTCTGTTTTTTCTGAAAACAGCTTATTTTTCGAATAGGATACGACACAAATCTTCAAAAATTCTTGAAAAAACCGAGATGCCGAGTAAAAATTTTTGTCGTTTATGAAAGTTCAAATCACGGGCTATCTTCCTATGCATTTAGCTTAATTTCGACCATTCTAACGAAAAGTGACTTTTTTCGAGGGGTGGAAGGTCTTAAACAATTGATAAACACCAGAGATAACTCGTTTTTTTTCATCTATTTATTAATTTTAGACTGATCATACCGGTATATTGGAATTGGCTATTGGTGGTCTAGTTTTTCTGTTGGGCATTGTTTTCTTTAAATGTGATGGTATCATACCATTTGCACATGCTATTTGGCATTGTTTTGTTTTTTTCGGCGCTGCTATTCATTACTATGCAATTTATACTTATCTTCTCGTACCATCATTGTCTCAGGATGAATTTTATTATAAGAAATAATTCTATCGAATATTGTATGTACATAATGTAGTCTATTTTATTCGCATCTGTGTCGTCTGATATAATTGATATGTGTCCGTTATTTTGATGAAAAAAAAAGCATTTATATGTAATTTGACACAATTGAAATTTTTTGTTTAATTATTTTCTTTATATTTCTACGTAGTGAATTTCTTCATGATCTTCCTTTTATATACTGTTAACTCCAGTTTGTTTTTGTTTGTTGGTTTTTGACAGTGACTGCATCAGTATTTGTTCTTGTGAGAGTCTAAAATATTTATTATCCAAAATATAAGAAAAGAAGTATGTTTGTTGATTTAGAGAATGCTATCATGTATAGTAATCTTTTATTCACTTTCAATAAAGAATTTGTTGGAACAAGAAAAAAAAAGGCAAATGTATATAAGACTCTAATTTTTCATAAGGCATAAGTTCATGATGAATATATGAGTGAAAAATAAGATAAGCATATTCACAACATTCACAATAAGAATGAAAATATAATGATAATAAAAAAAAATAATAATAATTCACGATTTCTTCTTTTTCTTCTTTTTTTTGCCTTTCTTAGCTCCTTGCCATGGAAACCCTCGTGCATCTAAACATTCAGCAACATTATGGCATATATAATAGGCATTGATTATAGCCGCTGGTGATAATACATCAACTTCTGAACGTACATCAGCACTTTTAGCACGAGCTTTACGTTTTGGTGATGCACTTGTTGCACGTGCTGTCTTTGCTGATTTAACCTTTTTTGTTGGCTATATTCGAAAATCAAAAATGAGACATTAATATAAGATTACTATTATTTCTTACCATAATACAATAAGTTAAAAGAATTGCATCGAATTTAGCATAACGTTTATAAGATGTTGAAGTTTGTTATATTCTTGTTATTTGCTACAATAACAACAGGAAAGGGCTTCCGATGCAAGAAATATAACAACAAAAAAAAAATGAGGGAGTTTTTTGTTTTCTTCTATCGATAACACTACCATAATAGTATATGTTGTCAAGGAGAATACATCCAGTATAGCAATTTTTTTCTGATTGTTAGAATAAATCAACCAATCATAAATATGTTTGTGGACAAACATATATCCTATTTATTTGTCTAAATGTATTACAGAATTGATTGTAAGCAGAGAAAGACGATAGTTTTATTGACTTAAGGTTGTATATGAATATTATATATTCAAGTTATTTGATATCAATAATCAATAAATTATTGTAATAATTTATTCTAGATTTTGTGTATGTTTAAAGAACATCAAAAGTAAATAAATTTATTATTGATCATTCAATATGCCAATTTTTCCTCCAAGACGAAAATCTCAAACTAAAAAGGATGATCCAATGAGTGGCATTAATCCATCAACATCGGATACAACAGCAAACACATTATCTCCTAATACAAATACATCGGCAGCAACAACTTCTAGCCGACCATCATCATATTCTTCTTCAAGTAGTCGTCGTTCAACTGCTAGTTCATCAAATGGTGATACACGTGTTGATGCACCGAAACTTGTTTTTCATTGTCAATTAGCACATGGTAGTCCAACTGGTCTTATATCAGGTTTTAGTAATGTTAGAGAATTATATCAAAAAATTGCTGATTGCTTTGAAATTCCAGCACAAACAGTAAACAGATTTTTATTAAAAACCTAAAAAAAATATTTACTTTTTTTTTTTAAAAAGATTCTTTTTTGCACATTGAATACACATAAAATTGACATGAGTCAATTATTGGGTGGACAAATTGGTTTAACTGATTTTATATTTGCTCATGTTAAAGGACAACCAAAAGAAATTGATATTGTTAAATCTGAAGCTGCTCTGGGATTAACAATAACTGATAATGGAGCAGGTTTGTTTGACATGTTTTTTTTATTATTATAAAAAGAAAATTTTTGTGTTAACATTTTTGTTTTGTTTTTTTTGAAACAGGTTATGCTTTTATTAAACGAATTAAAGAAGGAAGTGTTATTGATCGACTTAAAACATTAGTCAAAGTTGGTGATCATATTGAAAAAATCAATGATAAATCATTAGTTGGAGCACGACATTTTGAAGTAGCTAAAATGCTTAAAGATATTCCTGTTGGTTCCACATTTACAATGCGTCTAGTTGAACCAAATGCTTTTGGATTTCGTACGTTGATAAATTTAACTAAAGAAAGAGAATTTGAAATCAACACCTAACGAGAAAACATTCTCAAATGATCCACTCCATTTGTCGCCATACTTTGTCGATATATAGCATATTACTAGAGTAACGTAACATCTAAATTTTGTCTGCTCTTGTTCAGATTTAGTCGAGATAGCGACTTTTTAGGAGATTCATCTTGTAGGAGTTCAATTGCGGAAAAATAATATATTTGGAAATTTCTACCTGGAATTTCGAATACATGAACGTCTTTATTAGACTATCTCATATACAAAATTTCATCAGTTTGGAATTATATTCCTCTCGTAGACAGCACTTAGAGAAAAGCGTAGATATATTGAGAAATCTTTATCTTAACAGTGTGATATCCAAACCTAATGAAAATTTCTATATGAGATAGTCTAAGCAAGATCTTTATATGTACAAAGTTTCAGGTTGAAATTTCCATATATAATTTTTTTTCTTCGAAAACTGGACTCCTGCAAGATGAATCTACTAAACTGTCGCTATTTCGACTAAATCTAAGCAAGAGTAGAAAAATCTTTACAGGTTATGCTACCCTAGTGATCTCCTATATCTGAGCAAAATACAAGGACAAACGAAGCGAATCACTTGTGGATGTTCCCTCGTAAGTGAATGTTCTATACTAGTAGATGTTTCTCTAGAATTACAAGATATTGCATATCTTATTAATGTATTCTCAAAAAAGTCCGATTATAAAACTTTGGAGAGAACCTTGATTAGAACTTTCTTTTTCAAAACATTAAGGAATCCTATTCTTACGCATTTGTATGATGTATTTATATTGCAAATAATTCATAGATATTGAACCAGCTAAACGTGGTCGCAAGACAGGTGATGTTAAAAATGGTACAAAAACTCTTCGATTTAAAGCTGATGGTAGAGCAAGTGTTGAAGAAGTTGATGATACAATGGTTAAAGCTATTGATCGTATTAATGGTCTTCTTGAAACATTTATGGGTATCAATGATTCTGATCTTGGTAAGTTCTCAAATCAATGATGATAATCATTAAAAGAATTTGATAATAAAAATGATATATATATATTTTATGTTTCAGCTTTGTCTGAGATTTGAGATATTATTTTCAATTGAAAATAAATATTTGTTTTTTTTTGAATATTTTAGCACAACAAATTTGGGATTTTGCACAAAATAAAACGAATCCAAGTGATTTTGCTATGGCTATTGATGAGTCAGAAATTGGTGCATTTAATTTTACTGACGAATTTATCTTTGATTTATGGGCTGCTATTGATGATATTAAAGCTGGACGAATAAAAGAGAAAGATTATGAAGATGAACGATTATAAAAAAAAAGGAAAAGAAAAAAAGAAACGAATTTTGCTCTTTTTAAAGTCAACGCCGGTGCACATCCTGTTTTTTTTTTGTTTTCATTTTGTTTGACATGGAATAAGACCGGTCTTAGAAACGAAAACATACTTATGCGAACATCGATTATCTTTATAATTTGTAAATATCTTTTATTTCTCTGTGTCTTTTAATTTCTAGTCTTTTTCGGATGAGCCGCGATGATGACAAAAAGGTCTCCGTTCCATTTTTCTTTTTAGAACATTTATTGATCTGACGACAATCGAATCTTTCTCTCTTGTTTTTTTTTGTTTTCATTAACATTCCATTTTTTCTTTTCTTTTTTTCTTTGCTTGCTTTATATATTTATTGTTTTGCATTGTCAAAATTGTTGTTGATAATTAGACCGTCCGTTTACTTTGCATCCTTGAGAATTACAATATTAATGAATTATTTCGGCTAGATAAAAATAATATACTCATTTGTCCGTCTGCATATATAAAATCGTTTTGTTGCTCGCTCTTCATATCGTTACATTTCCAAACATTTCCTTTTCTTTTTTTTCGTGTGCTTGCTTGTTATTTCAAATAAATAATTATAATAATATAAAATGAATATGATGATTAGCCATTTTTATTCGCTGTGAATATGACTATTGATACTTATATACATTCTCAGATTATAAATTTAATACATATATAAAGTGTACCAAAAAAGTTTAAAACACTTTTTGCTTCCATATTTTATTTGAAAAGAAGGAGGGTAACTGACATATTTTGAGTGTCAGATAAAATTACAGTCAACATCTGCATAAACCATCTATTCTTGATCTAATCGATTGTACCATGAAGAAACTTTAATTTTCCTGTAGCAGGTTAAAGTTTAAGACAATTTTAGTGTTTTACTGATAATATCGTCACCGAAAAGTCGGCTGAGACAAATTTAAAAAATATACAATTATTGAAAGAGCTACATTTTAGTATAAAATTTTTGAAAAATTATTAGTTATAATAATTTAGTACTACTAACTAGAAAAATATTTTGTTATAAATTTTGATCTTCAAGTATAATGCTAGAAAGAGCATTGAAAAGTGAATAACACTGTGCATTTTTTGTTTTGCAATAACTCTTGATAACAGGATTTCTTTAAACATTAATTAATAGTTAATTAATACTCTATTAATAATTAAGAAATATGAATTCCAAGTATTGACTTCAGAACTTTAAAAAATAATCCATATTGTGGAGCAAACTTTGCTTTATTAAATGAGATCTTATATTTTTCTATACAATGTGTCCATCATATAATACAACCCTTGTATCTTTGATCATTAATTTCAACGATGATTTCCAGCTAGTTTTCTCTTGTTCCATAACTGGATATTTTCAGAGTGCTATATCTGATGAAGAACACATTGCGCAGAAGGATTCAAAATCTCATTTGATAAAGCAAAGTTTGCTCCACAATATACATTATTTTTTAAAGTTCTGAAGTCATTGCTTAGAACTTACTTTTCTTAATTATTAATAGAGTATTAATTAACTATTAATTAATGTTTAAAGAAATCCTGTTATCAAGAGTTATTGCAAAACAAAAATTCACAGTACTATTCAGTTTTCAATGCTCTTTTTAACATTATACTTGAAAATCAAAATTTATAAAAAAATATTTCTCTGGTTAGTGGTACTAAATTATTATAACTAATAATTTTTCAAAAATTTTATACTAAGATATAGCCCTTTCAATAATTGTATATTTTTGAAATTTCTCTCTACTTGTTTTTTTTTTATACTACAATTAATTAGATGAAGAATAGGTGGTTTATTTGCAGTTCATTTTACATATTTAAAATCGTTCTCGATTGATCAATATGAATGAATATATCTGCAATGATAATCATTAGAAAGCAGAATATGAATGATACAATTCAATGAACATAGAAATTAGTGTATACATAGATATAAACACCAAATCATTTGAAATCAATTTTGATCTACCAACCATCTGTGTATACGCATAATTAGACCCGAAGAAGCACTTGAAATTCTTTTAGTCGGAAAATACAATAGTCATGGCCTCACATATTATTATCACTGAACTAATTGCTTTTTGCAACATACTCTCATAAGAGAAGAAAAAAGATGACCCTACTAGTGGCACAAGGTCATTATTGATCACGGTTCAACAAACAGTTCATCATCTCGTAGAAACTCATTAGTTAGATCAAGTGAGTAATACATACAAAAAAAAAGAAAAAGAAAAAGCACATACATTGCAATAAACCACATAGTAGCGCCTTCATTTTTCTTTGTCTTATC